TGCTGACTCTAATAGCATATATGTCATATGAACATACAGCAATGTGTCACATGAAATGTTTCGACAATATCTTTTGTTTCTTTTCTGGTCTTTGAATGAGCCAGGGCTATTGCTGTGTATGGAGGATGAAGGAACTCCTGAATGTAATAACGTGCTCCGTTTGTAAAGCGGCTTTGGGAACCTGAACTTGAATTGAATTGAAGTGCGTCAGTTGAAATGTGTCAAGTGTTTGAGCAGATCTTGACTCTGCAGTTTTTTCTCCCGTGTTTTTAGTACTGATTTTAGTTAGTGTGTGAAAACTGTAGAATTTAAATAGAGGTATATTGGAAATGTGTACTGCACATGGTTGGCTTGGGAGAAAATGACTAATCGATGCTAATTAAATAACACCATGGTTTTTAGAGGACCTCTATATTCTCTATGTTCTCTGAAAAACCTATTGTATAGGTTTCTGCAAGACCTCTGCTTCCTGTTAGTGTTTTTATCAGTAACCACATCATGAAAGACAGGTTTAGTGGCACTTCATGAAAGGAAGTGGCTACCAATATTTTTTTCATCTGTGTAATTGTGCATATACTGTACAGTTACTGGCTACTTTATTGGAGACACATGATCAAAAGCTTGTCAAAGTAAAGATCTAATCAGCCAATCACATGGCAGCAACTCATGCATGTGGTTGTGGTCAGGATGATCTGCTAAAGTTCAAACCAACCATCAGAAAGTGAACGGAAGATGAGTTAAATGACTTTGAATGCTGGAATCAGACATGCCAGGCTTAGTCGTGCTGATCTACTCATATTTATGTTCTCTTTCAGAGAATCTTTAAAGGTGAAAACATCCAGTGAATGACGTTCTGCGGCTGAAAATGCCTTCTTGCAAGAGGCCAGAGCAGAATGACCAGAATATCTAGAAAAACAACATTAACTCAAATAACCACTCGCTACAACTGAGATTGCAGAAAAACAACTAGCACACACGATTGTTTCAACTTTGAAGTAGGTAAGCTACAGCAGCAGAAGAATAAACCACTGACAATCCTGAGAATATCTAGTATTATTCACATGCAGGCTCACAAAAGACAGACAATTGAAGACTGGTAGAAATTTGCCTGGTCTGATAAATCAAAATACTGGTGTATTCGGTCGACACCGTGAGCATTTGCACTAAACAACATGAAAGGAGTCCTCCACACAATGTCTTGCATCAACCGTTCAGAGGTTTGTTTCCCAAACAACGACGTATCTCGCGGCTGAACTATCATAGTACATAGTAGCATCGTTTGGGAAAAGAATGATGTTGTGATGAGTGTTTCCCAAAACACATAGTTTCTCTGTCGCAGATCCATCACTTGAACCATGTTAGTTGTAACATAAAACGCCCATAATGACGCTCTAAACTGGGTGTAGTAACAACTTCTTTAGAGAAGAACCCCATCATTTATCTGTGCAATTATATTGTTTTACATGCACACATACTTAAAACAATCCAATATTAGTTTTTGTAAAAACATGCAGTCGCTTTCCATATTTACTGAAATATATGTAAATGGCACATAGGGCCTGTGTTTCCTTTACTAATATTATTGAGAATATGACATATCCTATTCTAAAACATAAAATCACTTACAAAAGCTGACACATATTCTAATATCATATATAAATCATTTGAATAAATAATTAATGAGGCTATTTATTATAAAAATGAAATTTAATACTTATTATGTATTAGAAATAAAAAAATCATGTTTTAATAATATTAATATTAATGATGATGATGATGATGATTATTATTATTATTATTATTATTATTATTATTATTAGAATAGATATTGTTTTTTTATTTGTTATTTTTTAGAAAAGTCTACTTTTACAATTTAACACATGTAAACCACGGCAGAAAGTTCTAACCAGCAGCCCCATGTCATATACAGTACAGATAGTTAATAAATAACCAACTATAGATAAAATAATTAGTGTTTGCTTTTTGTTTTCACAAGCTTTGGAGATGTAACATAAATGTAACATAAATTCCGCTTTCAAATAATAGGTCACCTATAGCTTTCGTCTTGAGTTCAAAAAGACATCAATGTTTTCAAAGTGCACTGCGAAGGGAGCACAACTGTAAACATGAAGATCGTTAAAACTGAACTGTAAAAATAGTTTAAAAGCAAATTGCACCTCAGAGAGATGACCTTAATGCTTTTTTATTTTTAATAACTCCAACTTTGAATGTTAGAATGTTCTAAATGAATATGGCATAGGGGGATAAGTGGGAATAGAACACAGCCATGAACTATGTTTCTAACCACAGCTCCAGAGCTGTAGTTGCGAGTGCTCAAGTTTGCGACGCAGTTTGCGAATGTTCCTTGGAGCGATTGATTTGGGCAAATCAACAAATATGTTTGTAATGACGAAACTTGCGACCTAACAATGGTTTTGGGAAACGCACCCCAGGACAGTGCCGACCCCTAAGGTTGAAGGGCCCTAGGCGAGATAAAACAAAAACTGGGCCCACTGGTGTTTTTTGGTGAGAAAAAAAGCACAAAAAATATACAATTTTAATATTTAAATGTACAAATTTGTATTAACTGTAACATATTTAACCTATAGTACATATGTAAAAATATTTACTCTGATTTAAACAAATAAGTTTGCAAGCCAGAAAACACTAATTTAAAAATATATAAGTATATGAGCATGGCATATACAAGTAAAACATGAATCAAATGCAGTTTTTGTTAATGAATAACACAAATATATGGACAAATAACTAGAAATGCAGGATACATTTTTCCCTGTTTTTACACAAATTGAGATTTACACAAACAAAACTTTGCATTAGATGTTGGACAGTGGGTAAAATTAGATTTTGAGAAATTGAGGGGAAACCTGTTTTTTTCAGCAGGGTGAATTAGTGGGAGAGATAATTAATTGATTATTTAAAGAAACATGCTGAATGTGACCTCTTATGTCTCACATCGTTGCATTCATTAAAACAAGTCCTAATACCGCACTACTAAATAATGTATTATGAATAGTAGAACACACCCTTACTTTGAGCTTGCTTTTCTTCCTCTGATTTTCTTTTCTTCCTTTTTTTTGGCTCTGAGTTTCGATGCCATTTCATTTTAAATTAAAATTCGATTAGGATCGATTAAAAATAGCAATGATACTTGTGATGTTATATTAGTTAAGACTTTAAGACACCTTTTCAGCTTTATATCCAACGTGAGCAATTTGGAGACATGTGGAATCTGTGTAGGAATACGTTACGTCATGTTACGTCATTCCAGTTTACTCAATAGCCGATCGCGGGCTGGGTTATGCAAAATAGAGTGTGGTGCTGGGTATGTTTCTAATATTTTCTGCTTTTATTCATACTCTTGTTGTGTATTTATTATCGTTTTAAGATATTTGTCATGTATGATTTATGCAGCGCTAATCTTTTACTATAATGTGGAAGTTTTTTTCTCACCATTGTTGTTTAATTGTATCGTGTTTAATAGGGTTTGTGCATTGCGCAATGGTTGAGGTTTTAACGTTCACGCTCGTCCTCCTGCTTATGTTCACAGTAAATATAATATAAGAGCAGTGTTTGTGGGCTCCTCCAAGAAACGTGGGGCCCTGGGTCGGCACTGGATCAGGATGATGGTGGTGGTATAATGGCAAGGGGCAGTTTTTTTCTGCCATTGTTTGTGCCTCTTTAAATAGCATAGCCTACCTGAGCATTGTTGCTGACATCTCCATTTCATTATGATCACAGTGAAGCCATCTTGTAAAGGTTTATGATAGCATGCCATCTCTGCGTATCATATTTAACAAACCATTTACTATGAATTTTATATAATTTTGCTTACATGGATAATTGAATATTAATCAGATGATGTCATTATGCTGTTGTGCTGTCAGCCAATCGTTGCATTGCCGATCATGATTTCAAGGATCGATAGATCTGTCCTTCACAACACACGCAGCGATCTCAGATCAGTTTATCCAGACATTCTAATCTGATTCGTGAACTTGTTTGAAGAACCAAATTAGCCAAAGTTCAGTAGTCAAGATTAGTAGATCCAGGATCTGGCAAATCATCTTAGATCATTTAAGCGAGGTACGACCAGATCATTGCAAACAGGTGAAACCAAATCAAGAGAATGTGATGGAGACGTACACATGTCACGGACATTCTGCTTTTACTGAATCTTTATCACCAAAACTAAAATACAGAAAGCCACTTACACATACAGTATCTGTCGCAAAAATAAAATTAAATTAAATAAATAAATAAATAAATAAAGCATTAAAAGTGTTGAAGTCATTTTTGATGGAGACAAGCAGACGTTATCATTGTTTGCACTTGGTCAGTCCCGCTTGTCACCATGTGATATGTTGGAATATCAAGCCAATTCCATGGGTGTTCAATAAGAAAAGGTCTGGAGAGTGTTTTCTTCAATGCCAAAAATATTATTAATTTATTAGATACAAATGAATAATTCGATGACAGAGCTCTGGGTTACATTACCCCAATGCAATACAAGAATTACATTCAAGAGGTTCGCAACTAACTTACATTTGCTGACACCAGCATATGTACACAACTGATATTAACAAGTGGAGTTTGGTGTAACGTCACTTATCAGTCATTCTGCAGTCCCTTGGCTCTTGTAACCCCCAGACATACTTCCTCTTTCTCCAACCCTTCTCTGCATACTAGAACTGAACAATTACGTGCATCTTTAATATATTTCACAACTTCTACAAAGATCATGCTCCTTGTGTCTGGAACAAACGCTAAATTTATTCTTATTCTGTTTTTTCCTCTGGTCAGCAGTTTTTCTAAAAGTATGAATCACAGTAAAAACGAGGAAGTGTGTTTGGTCAAGATGTGTTGTAATACAATAGAAAAGATTGATTAATCTGTTGTTAGTCTAAACATTTTTCTAATAAATAAAAACCCAAAAGTAATAAAAATAAATTCCTTTTCTCCAACAGATACACCAGCCTGATCTCACGAGAAAAAGTAAGTATTTTATGTTTTGCCAGTTTAGTGGCTAATTTGTACGAATTCATACAAGTTCAATCTTGCGAAAATGTACGATTTCAAAAAGGAGTCGTGACTCCTAACCCCACCCCTAAACCCAACAGTCATTAGGGGATGAGCAAATCGTACTAAGTTGTATGAATTAGATTGTACGAATTCATATGAATTAGCCACTAAATAAAAAAGTTACGAATTGCCGTGAGATTGTGTTGGATACACACACACACACACACACACACAAAAGAATGAACATTTTAATGAACACTTATGTTTGTTGTACAGTTGGTGGATTCACTTCCATTATTTGGTATGATTGCATTCATATCAGAAGTGAACCGTACAAGAGCTCGCACAAACCGTACCCCAGACCACCTCTTTGAGGCAGGCTCGGGTACGGTTCACAGGTGGAGACACATTTACACCAGCTAAACGTACCATACTTTGATGTCAAACGAACCCGTGTGTGGACTAAAAGTTCTAGTGTGAAAGCACCCTGAGTCTGACATGAGAACATCATCATTGTACCTCATCAAAACTAGAGTTAAACAACAGCAGTGCATTATACATTATAATTATAGTTAAATAATATATTAAATAGTTAGATTGTTTCATATACTAGCCACATTTCAGCCATTAAACAATTATAATTGTTTGCTGAATTTTTGTTTATGTCAAAAAATAAATAAATAACAGATTCTTTTTAGAAAAAAACGTCTGTGGCTTGTCATCATGTTTAATGGTTTGGTGCTCATGATTCTTGGTTTCAGGTTCTTTCTATGATTACAGTTGAACTACTGAAGTCAGATGAGATGGGGGTTTTTTTCGTCTTGAGACTGTTGCTGTCTATGGGGTCTGAGGGTGCTCTCAGATGTCTAAAATATCTTCATTTGTGTTCTGAGGATGAATGAAGGCCTCAGGAGATTGAAACAACGTGAGTGTGAGCAATTAATAACATTATTTTCATTTTTGGGTGAACTAGCACAACAGTGAGCTCAAATGGCCTCAACAGATCAGCATGATCTAGTCACTTGAGCACTCTTGGGATAGACTGGAACAGAAGATTTGCATCATGGTCAAGCAGCTGACAAATCTGCATGATGCTGTAATGACAATATGGACCAGTGTCTCAGACAAATGTTCTCAGCTCCTTGTTGACAAAAGATGGTCCAGCACTGTAGCAATGTGAACCAAAGGAGAAGAAAAGGTGTAAGTAATGTCCGTCTGTTCTTGGAGGCAGGTCTAAACATGAATCTGAAGTTCACGGTTTATGTGAAGAGGTCAGATTTAAGTAGACTAAATCACTAAACATCACCAGAGGACTTATTTTAATTTAAATGTACACAAAATATAGGGCGAATTTTCTTTTTACGCTGACTTGCTATATAACATTTTGTAATCAAAACACAATTGTTGTTTGTCTGTTGTTAAACCGGTTTTGGGCAGAAACCATGGTTCAACATTCCACCGAAAAACCATTGATTTCCTGTTTTATCTTGTTTTTTAATCAATTATCATCATAAATTTTGTACAATTTCCATGTTTAAACTAAGGGTATTGCAGTAGATACAGATCTGTGATTAAATATTGACCATTCATGTGTGGTGTATTAGCTTTTTACTCCACATATTATTAATTTAACATAAGATACTTTAGCAAAACCTTGGTTAATCACAGGGGTGTAAAGTAACTAATTACAAATACTCAAATTACTGTAATTGAGTAGTTTTTCTTAGAAATTGTAATTACTAAGTAGTTTTAAAAATGTGTACTTTTACTCTCCTATGAGTACATATTTAGTGCTGTATCTGTACGTTTACTCCACTACTTTCCTTTAACCTGCAGTCACTACTTTATTCTAGTCTATGGGGATTAGAAAAATCAGTCATGTGATACCTGTCCAATCAAATCACACATAGAAGGTAAATCGCATCATAATGAACTACCTCAAGACATCTGTGATTTATAATCTCAGCAAACTGTTTGGAAGCATTAAAAGTGTCCAAGAAGATGTCTAAAATATTTACATGCATTGACCCAGAGACTGTTTAGATCACGGGTGCTCAATCCTGTTCCTGGAGATCTACCTTCCTGTACAGTCTAGCTCCTACCCTGACCAAACCCACCTGAACCAATTAATTAGGACCTGAAATCCACTTGATAATTACAGACAGGTGTGTTTGATAAGGGTTGCAAGTGAAATCTGCAGGAAGGTAGATCTCCAGGAACAGGATTGGCCACCCCTGGTTTAGATGCATATCACTGATGAGAAGATGATGGATGTTTACTGTATGATGACTGAAATGGCCTTAAACACCTAGCAGGCACAAGACATCAACATGACGTCAAATTGACGTTGTACCCCAACATCATGGTGACATTGCATTTTGTTTGATAATGAAAATCAAGTTAAGTCCAGAACTCAACATCAGGCCAAAGTCAATATCCAACATCCAATCTAAAACCAACCAAATATCAATGTCTAATGATGTTGCAGCTTGACGTTGTGTGGACGTTACCACTATGACGTCTATTAGATGTTGGATTTTGGTTGCCATACCTGACAAATTGATGTTAGTATTTGACGTCATTATGATGTTGGTTTAAGATGTTGGCTGGACGTTGGATTTTGGTCACTTTCTAACACAACCTAAAATGAACCAAATATCAATGTCATTTGACGTCATTATTGAACAATAAAATAACGTCATCCTTAGACGCTGGCTAGACATTGAATTTTGGTCACCTGACATCACAATCTAAATATAACATAATATTAATGTCTTAAGATGTTGTGTGCCTGCTGGGCAATAACTACATGCACTACAGAATGTTACGTTTACACACACATGCACAAATTAGGCCTAGATGTAAATGCATCAGCTTTTTACAGCGTAATACTCACTACTCACTACTCTTAAGTACTTTAGAAAGGGCTACTTTTTACTCATACTTTGAGTAATATTTAAAACAGATATATTTACTCTACTTACACTACATTTTTAGGCGAGTAATAGTACTTTTACCTGAGTGTTTAGTACTCTTTCCACCACTGGTTAATCATCTCCAAAGAACATAATAAATCTGGAGCTTCTTCAAGACTGTAATTCAAAGAGCTTTTGAAGGCTGGTTTTGCATAGCAGCTTGGCGTCAGATCATTCAGTCTGATTATAATTTTTGTAAGAAGTAATATTTTAAAATGAAATTTCCTTCACAGGGTTAAGTGCATTTTAAAAGCCTGCAATAAACGTGCACATGTCTCTTCAGTAAAGCTTTTAAAGAAATGCATCTTTGGTTCCTTGAACAAATCAAAGCAGAATAAAGCGGCTTTGTGTGTGTAAAGGTTCTCTATATCCTTCTGAGGATTTTTTTTTTCTTTGTGGCTGGGCAGGTTTTGTGGGATTTCAGTAGGACCGGTTTATCCAGGAGAGAACTGGTGTTTGTGTGCCGCGGCGAGGAACTGCTCAAACCTGTTCTCCTCGTCAGTAGGGAGGCGAAGGAGGGGCAGCTTGGAGAAGAGGAGGAGGAGGTGGAGAGGAGTGCAGGGCGTATGAAAAAAAACAACAGTTTTTTTTTTTTACCTTTACTCTTTATTTCGCTGTCATTCTCCATAGTGTAGAATCTGATGGGACTCAGCGGGGGGCTCTGCAGGACACCGGTGTGACGAGGAGACGACCGCGGCGTGTGATTGGCAGGTGACGTGATTGACGTCCACAAGGTGGCACGGGGTGAGCGAACTCCTCATTTCACCTCAGCACACCACATTGATCTTGGGCTTTGATGTTATTTATTAAGCTGGTGCAGGATGTTTACTTACTATTTCATGTCAAAATCATTTCCAGTCCATAAGTTTCCATGTGAAACTCAATCAATCATTATTTAAGCTATTTCAGTTGGGTGGGGAGACTTATTATTGCTTCTTTATTAAATAATAAGTGATATGAAATGATTCAGTTTTAGTATTGCATTCTATTTTATTCATTTATATCTGTATTTAGTATTAGCAGAATGCTTTTTTATGTTAATCAGTTTCATATTAATTAACAATATTTGTTCACACTTATTTGGAGGCCATAACTAATAAGCATTGTTAAATAGTACATAAAACATTAAGCATTTACATGGTGTCTCATAGCAATTACAGTACCTACATTTAATTCATATTTGTAGTTACGATTATTTCAAACTTGAAACGCTACAAACCTAACCCTAAATATCTACACCATTCCTCAAACTAAAGCAAGTACACTGTAAAAAGATGATGTGATCAATTAGTCATAACAGCATATTTTTGGGTCATTACATCTTATTAAACTAAGTTTAGCAGGTTCTAACCTAATTTTATAAGTTATGCAAGCTGTTTTGAGTCAGTTTAACATAATATAAGTTCAATGGACTTATATGTCACTTAAAAATATAAGCCAACCAGGGTTTTTTAACAGTGTATGTACATTTTATAGAGTAAGACGTAATTACACAGGAAATACATTCACATCTTGTAAGCCTTTATTGTTAGCATAGTAGTCAGCTAACATATAAAATATTCCAAAAATAAGATGTTTTTATCATAAATGAACTTATTTTTAACATATATCTTAATATGAAAGCACACATATGTTCAGGTGTCCTTATTACAGTATACCATATTGCTAAATTAAGTATGTAATACTATATTGTTAGGGGAAAAGGGGCCGATTAGGGTTAGATTGTAAGTCAGGTTTAGGGTTATTTGCATGTAATTATGCATAATTGATTGTAATTACTATAGTACAGTAGGTAGATAGACCATGTGTAACATGAACATTTTAAAATGTAATGTTAAGATGAATACTAACAAGAATGTGTGTCTACTAAAAGTGACAGTGTGTCATGTTCACACTTTACCATTTGTTTGCAACTTCCTCCCTCTCACGCACTCACTGTCTCATTCTCTCTCAGTTTTCAGTTTGTCATGCCCTTGGTAATATGCTAAATAATTTTTTTTTATCAATATTAGGCAGAAGGCTTAAGCATGTAAAACACAAACAACAATAAACTTGCACAAAAAAACTAGCAAAATCAGAGTGTTTTTTTAAACAAAACTTTTAAAAAGAGATGATTGATTATGGACTAATACACTGTAAAAAAGTGAAGGTAACTCAAAGCCATTTGAGGCTAACTGATTGCAACAAACCATTTAAGTAAAAAAATAAAAATAAAAAAATAATCCTACTGACTACTGTAAATTTATTCCATTTGAGTATTTGAAGCAATTTGAGCACAGTAAAACCCAGTAAATGAGGAGAACTCAAATCAACTGAGTACTGTAAAACCAAAAAAGTAAAGGCAACTCAAACCGTTTAAGGAAACCGATTTCTACAAACCATTTGAGTTAAAAAAAAAAAAACTAATCTATATGAGTACTTACTCCATTTAAGTTGAAGTAGTGAGGTATTTAATTAACTCATTACCTTCAACACTGAGTTCAAAACTCATTTCAAATTAGTAGAAAAAGCTTTCAGTCAATTTTAATTACACTCATTTCAGTTGATAAAGTTGACTGTTGCGTTTTACAGTGTAGTATCTCCATTGACAATCTGTCATGTTCTCTGATATACAGTATTTGATTGCAGCTGCCTTTCTCTCTTGATGCTTAAATTGTGTGTCTCATTCATATTTTACTGTTCTGCCCTTCCTACCATGCTACAGTATGATGTGAAATTAATATTGCAAAACACGATGTCAAAAAACAAAAACCTTGCAAAAATCATAGGCAGTGGTTGCGAAATATCAGACCTGATCCACCAATCCATCTCAGAAGCATACTTTCTCATGTATATTAATATTATTATTCTGCCCCAGGCCTGCTCAAAGACTCCGCCTGTCAGTCCTGATGGATTTTGTTTGTTAATGATCAGATATGGTATATAGTACATGTACTGTGCCACTTATTTAGTGGCCCTATGCATGACCTCTGACCTCTAACATCAAGGTCATTGAGAATCAAAGGTCAGATCTGACCCCTTTTTGTATGGTAAACCAACACTGTTATATTCTAAAAGCTTTAGCAATCATATTTTGCTAAGTCAGCTTTTAAGAGTGTTTAAAATATCAATTTGTGTATGTGTGTGTGTGTGTGTTTGTGTGGGTAAATGTGTGTGAAAAGTGAGGTCTGCAGTTCTGACAGACAGGTTCCCTCTTGCTCATTCTGCTGTAACGTTCAAAACTGTTAGCTAACATATCCTGACATGCAGAGAGAGTGAAAGAGCAGGCGAAAATCACTCAGATCAAAATGAAAAAAAAGAATTTGCGTAGGGGAGGGGGGGTAATGACAACCGCACCCTCGCATGAACCCTCAGTGGTGTATCTCCACAGGCATAAGCCTTGCAGAGTAGTGTAAAACTTGTTATGAAGAATTATAACGTATTCAGATGTTTATATGGCACTTTGCAGCACAGTTTATCATCAAAAGCAGCACTGCCTTCTTAAAAAATGTGTTTATGTGCCATTAGCTTTTAATGAACACTACACTTTTTTTTAAAATAGGCTCATTTTATAACAATCCTACAGTTAAACAGTTGAGTTTTACCATTTTTTAAAATTCCTTCAGCTGATCTCTGGGTCTGAAGGGAGCATTTTTAGCTTAGCTTAGCATAAGTCATTGAATCAGATTAGACCATTAGCATCTCACTCAAAAATGAACAAAGAATTTTAATAATTTTTCGGTAACACTTTATAATAACTACACACTATAAATCATTTATTAAGCATTAGCAAATAGTGAACTCATTATCTGTTAAGCATTAACTCTACATTAATAAGCGTTAGTAAGCAGTTTATAACTGCAGCTACAAATGCTCCATTCTTGACTTATAAGCACCTATATAATGTGCTTAATAATTGTATTTTCATACTCTGTTAATGATTTATTTTTCACTACTAAATTAAGTATCAAATTATTAACAAACCGTTTGTATTTTAGAGCAGTTGAGGGTTTTTAGGACCATTCAGAATGAGTTAGTAACTGATTAATTTACTATTGAAATCAACGTTTATATGTCTTATTATTCAGGCATATACTAATAGTTAACTAATATGTTAGTAAATGCTTTTATTAACTCAACTTCATGCAGTTTTGTGACCTAATCTAAAGTGAGGACTATTCATGTTTTATAAATGCCTTATAAAAGACAAATAAAGGCTCAGAATCAAATGAACGATAATCTGTGCAATCTTTTCTAAAAAGTAAAATTACTGTAAAGTTTAAACATTGCTGAATAACAGGAGTGTCAAAATATGACATCCAACTGGATAAAACAACAACAATATAATAATTTAACATTATAATAAGATGCAATGTTTAAACTCTACAGTGATTTTATTTTAGATCAGCTTGCAAAGATTTATTTTTCATTTGAAGTACAGTTTTATTTGTGTCTCTTTAAAGGAATAGGAATGGATAATGTCATTATTCCTGTTTAGAATTTAACTGAGCCTTTATTTGTCATTTATAACGGATTTATAAAGCATGAGTAGTCCTCACTTTAGATTAGGTCACAAAACTGTATGAAGTTGAGTTAATAAACCATTTATTAAAATATATAGTAATTATTAATATATGCCTGAATAATAAGACATATAAATGTTGATTTCAATAGTTAATTAATCAGTTACTAACTCATTCTGAATGATCCTAAAAACCCTCAACTACTCTTAAATACAAACAGTTTGCAAATAATTTGATACTTAATTTAGTAATGAGAAATAAATCATTAACTAACTATGAAAATACAATCATTAAACACATTATATAGGTGCTTATAAGTCAAGAATGGAGCATTTGTAGCTGCAGTTATAAACTGCTTACTAATGCTTATTAATGTAGAGTTAATGCTTAACAGATAATGAGTTCACTATTTGCTAATGCTTAATAAATGATTTATAGTGTGTAGTTATTATAAAGTGTTACCATTTTTCTATTTAAGGCTTGAGCCTTTTGTAGTTGCATTGTGTACTAAGACGGGTAAAAAATAAAAAGTTGGTATTTTCTAGGCTGATATGGCTAGGAACTATACTCTCATTCTGGCGTAACAATCAAGGAACTTTGCTGCAGTACCATGGCTGCAGCAGGGGCAATGATATTATGCAGTGCCTGAAAGTAGTCTCCAGCTAGGTAACTTCCAACATGGTCACTGGTTATGTTGACAGAATCTACCCGATTTTCATGTTCTGGATAATATCATTGCACCTACTGCAGCCATGGTACAGCAGCAAAGTTCCTTGATTATTACGCTGGAATGAGAATGTAAAACTACTAATCACATTAGCCTAGAAATGAACAACTTTCATTTTCTGTGCTATTACATAATGTACATATAAAAGGGACAAGCTTTAAATATATAAATTATCTAAACACTTGGGTCATTTTTTGAGCGTGATGCTAACGGTCTAATCCAATTCAATGATCTATGCTAAGCTAAGCTAAAAGCGCTCCAAACAAACCCGCAGATTAATTAAATATATTTCAAAATGATAAAACTTAACTGGGCAGTGGGTAGCGCTGTCGCCTCACAGCAGGAAGGTAGCTGGTTTGAGCCCCGGCTGGGTCAGTTGGCATTACTGTGTGGAGTTTGCATGTTCTCCCTTGTTCACGTGGGTTTCCTACGGGTGCTCCGGTTTCCCCCACAGTCCAAAGAGAGGTGCTATAGGTAAATTGAATAAACTAAATTGGCCGTAATGTATGTGTGTGAATGAGTGTGTATGGGTGTTTGGCAGTGATGGGTTGCAGCTGGAAAGGCATTCGCTGCGTAAAAATAATGCTGGATAACTTAATAGTTAATAAGTTAATGCTGGATAAGCGGTTCATTCTGCTGTGGCGACCCCGGATTAATAAAAGGACTAAGCCGAAAATTAATTAATAAATGAATAAATCTCAACTATTTAACTCTGAGGGACTTGTAAAATTAGTCTATTTACAAAAAAAGTATATTGCTCCTTTAAGAAACTATAGGCAGTTCTGCAGGAACTTCTGGCAGTTCACTCTGCTGTGGCGACCCGGGATTAATAGAGGGACTAAGCCAACAAGAAAATGAATGAATGAAGGATCTTGAATGCACTCAATCTACCTCCCAAAAACACCTAATTTCTGTCTTCTGAACTCATTTTGAAATATTACATGATGCATTATTGAAGCACACCTACAGTATATGCATCTAATATGCATACATTTTCTTTTAAAGCAGGAAAAAAGTACAATGCGCTGTTACTAGCTCTGATTCTAACACAAACCCACAATGTTTGGCTTAGCTGTGTGGCTGTTAGAGTTGAAAAACGCTCTTCATGTTGTTTACAATTTTCTCATTTTGCTTTAATGTATAAATTACGTCCACTTGTTGAATAAGAATAAACCCAAACATACACTATCCCATCGAAAAAATAAGGAAAAAGGGTCAAATGTGGACCAAAAAGAGAGATAAAAACACTGTTTTTGTCTTTCTGTGATCTGATTGAACAAACAGGTTTAAAGTATAGATATTTACATATATTCACAGTGCATTAAAGTAAATTGAACATTGGTTTATGTGACTCTAAATCAACAATGGTTATAATCTGTATATCTGTATTTGGTTTATATACACGGCCTGACAAAAGTCTTGTCATTGATCCCAGTAGTAAGAGCAACAAATAATAACTTGACTTCTACTTCATCATTTGGAAAAATGGCAGAAGGTAGAATCTTCTAATGAATCATCTGTTCTGCATCCCAATCATCACAAATCACAGAAGACCAAAAGGAACCTGCATGTACCCGAAATTCTCATGAAAATCAGTCAAGTTTGGTGAAGGAAATATTTTGGTTTGGGGTATCATTCAGTATGGGGGTGTGCGAGAGATCTGTAGAGTGGATGGCAACATCAACAGCCTGAGGTATCAAGTCATTTGTGCTGCCCATTACATTACAAACCACAGGACAGGGTAGATTCTTCAGCAGGATAGCGCTCCTTCTCATACTTCAGCCTCCACATCAAAGTTCCTAAAAGCAAAGAAGCTTAAGATGCCCTAGGATTGGCCAGCCCAGTCAACAGATATGAGCATTATTAAGTATGTCTGGAGTAAAATGAAGAAGGAGGCATTGAAGATTAATTCAAAGAATCTTGATGAATTCTGGAAGTCCTGCAGGAACGCTTTCTTTGCCATTTCACATGACTTTATTATTAAGTTATTTGAGTCATTGCAGAGATGAATGGATGCAGTCCTTCAAGCTCATAAGAGTCATACATAATTAATTATTGTATAATTAATTATATAAAAATATAATTATTATAATATGAATTATTTTTCTGCATCATCACTTTACATTCTACACTGTACATTATTTCAGTTTAGTGACAAGGCTTTTCTGTAGGACCTTTAATGTCAGACCTTATTGTCCTAATTAAATGATTAACAATCAAGATCATATTTTATTTTGGTAAAATAAGCACAATATAAAGGTCTTTGCCTTTCATATAAGCCACTTCTGATACCAAATGATCAACTGGAAGTCAAGTTATTATTGTCATTCCTAAAACTTGGAGTCAGGTATAGCACAGCTCTATGAACTTTTAATATATATATATATATATATATATTTACTGAATATTTAGACTTTCATGCAACATATTTTAATCGGAACCATTTTATAAGCCATCAGTGTGTAACGTGATGGGTCATAAACACACTTCCTGATCCTGTTTGTTTTTTCAGCATCAGTGCGCACACACACACACACACACACACACACACACACACACACACACACACACACACACACACTCACACACACACACACTCACACACACACACGTTGTAGAAATGCTGTCCCTCCTTATTTCTTCCTCTCTCTTTAACACACACTTGTACATGCATACACAAATAAAGTTAGGCCTGCGGTGCTCACCTTGCAGAACCAGTTTGACAGGACCAGGTTTTAATAGCCCTGGTATATATGACCGTAGAAATTTAAGCTCATATTTTAGCAGGTTAATCCAGGGCAACAGCAAAACACAAGCTGGCACCAGTCACACCCTAATTATGCTTTGATTGAGAAAATAAAACAGTTTTTCTTTTGCATTTACAATCTTTTTTCGCATTCTGACTTTATTTACAGGAAGACAAGCGAAGTGGAAGGTGTGCAGGAACACCAGCATGGCTGTGGAAAGCTTTCCCGAGCTCCTGCAGAAACTGCGAGAGGTCCATGACAATGAGTTAGAAGGTATTTATTTGTATTAATCAAAAGGCATGCATAACCATATCTGTATTTGAGACCATGTAAAATGGTTTATTATGCATTGATGAGCCAAATAATTATGACCAGTCACAGGCGAAGTGAATATTGTTGATCATTAACAAGGTCACACATTAAGCCCTGGGTAGATGACATGGTGAGCAAACAAGCCGTCGTTGTAATCATTGTGTCACATGCAGGAAATAGGCAGGATAAAAAGATCTGAGTGATTTTGACCCTTTAAAAGGGACAGTTCACCCAAAAAGTTTAATTCTGTCATTATTTTCTCACCTATTTGAGTTTCTTTTTCCTTTTGAACGCAAAATATGTTTTGAAAAATGCTGGTTGCTAGCACCCATTGAATTCCGTAAGCTGTGTCTCATTTGAGAGGCTGCATCCTCCGAAGGATGCAGACTTCAAGGGGGAGTCCTTCAAACTCCACACAAGCCGAACCAAGCATTTTGAAATGAGACAATCTAGCCTACAGTGGAAAGATCTTGTCACCTAGCAACCATAACAGCTGCTGTTAATAAGCTGTAATATATATACATATATATATATATATATATCTATATATATATATATATATATATATATATATATATATATATATATATATATATATATATATATTCTAAGAACATTGTTTAAAATGTTTTTAGAACGTTCCATTTACATAATATTAAAGTTTAAGAAACTAGGGCTGAATTATTAAATGAAATAAAATCACAAATGTGATTGATTATACCTGCAATTGTCATACACATCATTGCAAATCATGCTCGGTTGTGTTCTGTTGTAAATCGCCTCTGAGAAAGAGAAACTCCAAACATGATGAAACCCAGGAAATCCCCTTTGCGCTGCATTATAGAGAGAGCTGCTTTCAAGAAATTTCATGACTTATAATCACACGACTACAGAAGTTATAAAGTGAGTTGGGAGCAAAAACATGAAATGTAGTGTTCACTATAAACATAAAATGTTAACAGAATCGTTATAAGCCTGACATTCTGCTTCTCAATAACTTAATGTGCCTGACTTTTTCACAGCAGTTGTGATTGATGAAGCTGTCAAAAATGTACAGCAGCTTATGTCCATTGTTCATTTCACGCACACACAATTATCAACTCCTCACATTTAAGATTATTTCTAGTGATGTTGTGGTTCTGTCCCCCCTTTTCTTTCCCCGTTGTAAATCAAACATCAACCTGATTTTGCGCCGACATCTTGTGGACAAACTAAGTAGTGGAAAAACAATGTGTGAGCTGCTCATACATCGTATACACGGTTATAAACTTAATCTGCACATGCACAGTATCACAAATACTGCAAATGACAGTAACATTACAAGATACATAGTCTACTAATTTCTTGACATAAAGAAGCTTGTTTACAGTCATCTACTTCCAATTGTAATGATTTCTGATTTGGTTCAATACGTATCATTTTTATGAGTATCAGTGCCACATTGGTATTTTTATCACATAAATTTTTTTGTACCCGACTGTAGTCGAAACTGGACTTTGGAAAACATCATCCGGCTGTTTACATTTGCAATTTTTACCCAGGGATTTGACTAATTGTTGCAGATCCGTCACACCCCTTTATAACAATACTTTTCCCATGATGGAAGTGGACTCTTTCAGCAGGATAATACACTCCACACCACACACACTTTTCAGAAATAGTTTTTAAAAATACATAATTAAAAATTCAAGGTGCTGCCCTGTCCTTTAAAGTCTCCAGATCTCAACCCTACTGAGATTTTCTGGCATGTTCTTGATCAAAAAGATCAATATAAACCAGATTCACCTCACAGGACTTGATTGGTCTTGAAGACTCCAAGCTCGTTGCTCTTTGGAGCACCAGCATGTGGACGAGTGGTCATAATGTTTTGGGCTTTTGGTATAGACACTCATTTGAGAATGATAAAATCATTTCAGATGTCAGGTGTCAATAAGATTTGTTTTCCGGATCATCTGGTTTTGTGATGACATGATGTGTTGAGGCAAATGGTGCATTTGTAGTTCTCCTGTGAATGTGGAATTTTTTAGTTGAATGATTACATTTTTGTGAAGAAAAAAATAAATGGTCAGTTAGCTTTGTAGCTCACTTTGTAGTTTATATACTAGTGATGCAGAACATTTGGGATAGACTCTGGTGAAGCATGTTCCTCAAAAGAAAAAAAGACACTTAAAGTCAAGATAAAACTATGCTGTGCTACCTTTTTTTACATTTGCTTTTGACAACACTATTGGTTGGGTTTCAAGAGTTCACATTTAGCTGATGATTGATTATAAGCAAGTTTGGCATGCTGTCCCGGGAGAGAGCCCTGAGCTCGAAAGGTCCTTGAGCCCTGGGCTCCCTCCCATTTGCAGGGCGAGAGGGGAGCCTTAAGCTCAGGTAGATCTCGACAACTCCCCCCTTGATAAAAATTGATGACTAAAGATTTGAAAGCTATGAAAAGATATGCTACAGGTTGAGAGATTGACTTTAGTGCAAAATTTAGATTGATCAATTCACTTGTTGTGCATGTTTTTGGAATGTGGGAGGAAACCGGAGGACCCGGGGAAAACCCATACGAGCACAGGAAGAACATGCAAAACTATGCACAGAAATAACCGCCGGCCTGTTAAGGACTAGAACCGGTAACAATCTTGCTGTGAGGCAACAGTGCTAACCACTGGGCCACCGTGCCGCCCTATGGAGGGAAAGGTGAAGAGGTAGAGGTGGAAGGGGGGATTCTTCAAATCGAAGATGACTGTAGTGAAAAACCCTGGCTCTTTATAGTGGGTTAGGAATGGCCTGATTGGTGGATCATGCATGCTAATGCATAACCAGCCGTGTTCAATCATAATCATGTGATTCTCTCGAAATTAGTTTATGAATAAACTTAATTTAGTAAAGGTTTAGCTTCGCTGGTCTAGTTGATGTGTACAACAAGCTCTACCTTCTCATGGACATGTAAAAGAAGGATGGCTATCTGAAACAAAATTTACCCTTGCTACCGCTCTAGTGCCATCAAGCGGATTTGTCATCTGGAACATACAACGAAATGTACCAGGAGCAATGTGTAGGGGAAATATACCGTTTTAAACCAAAAGGACCGTTAGTCTGTCAGAAGAAGAAGAAAAGGAGTCAGACATTGAATTAAAATAAAGAGGTCTCTATGACCTCTGACCTGGCTGGGTAGATGCTGAGAAAACAAATCATTTGGCATACAGAAAAAGCAATCGCACACGTATTATTCCGTTTTTACTCTGAAGTTGGATGATACTAAGGTCATCGTGTAATCTAGACTCTTAAACATTGGACCCCTGCACGGGCCTTAAATCTAAACGCTTTTCACAGTTTTAAGTTCGCCATTAGCAGTTTTTCTCGTAATGTTCTCCATTGTACGTGGCTGGACATCTCTATATGCAAGGCATCACAGGCGCTTCCAGACCACACACATTAGGCATAAAAAAGTTCAGAGGCTCAAATGCAGGACTCTCTTAAACATTCAACTTTATTAATTGTCGTAAAGACATAAGAAAGGATTTTTGTTACTCCATCCTGGAGTGAACATCAATCAGAAAATCCCAGCCATCAAATGCATTTTACATTTTGCAAAAATGTAGGCTGAGGCACATATTTTAATTACGCCTGGCCTGAGAAAGTCTTAATTACGTACATCATCTTTTGCACTTTATTTGGAACATTTTACTCATTTTTTTGTTTTGTATAGATTTGAAAGCCTTGTCAAAAATATTGAAGAATGTTTGTGCAGAAATGACTAAATTCTTGCATTATACATGCAAGGGCAAGTAGTTGGAGATGTCACTTTGCAAAGAAACTCTACCCATCTGTGCACATAATGTGGGGACTGGTAGTCCACCATTGTTGTTCTGGTTGTCAAGTACTCGCACATGACTATAGCCTGTCATGCACATGACAATAGCCTGAACAGCACATACAGTAACAAGTATGCGCATAAAGTTGTCATTTTCACAAAACCATGTGTTTGTAGATAGAGAAGATCATGGTACCATTTTCACAAACTCTTCAACTTCAAAACCCGTTAACTAATGGATAAGTAAAAGTGTGGTTCATTATTGGGAGACTTAGGGCCCTATCATACACCCGGCGCAATGTGGCACAAGGCGCGGCGCAATACTTGTTTGGTAGTTTCAGCTTGGCGCAAGAGTCGTTTTGAGGCGTTGCGCTGTGCTGTTTAAATAGCAAATGGATTAGCGCTCATTTGTGCGCCCATAGGCGTTCTGGTCTAAAAAGGGAGGCGTTCTGAGGTGCATTGCTGGCGCCTATTTTGAGAAACTATAATAGATTTTTCATTAGACCAAAACAAACCCGGTCTAAACTCCGGCGCAGAGTTGCGCCTCGCTTACGCACTGCTTAATACGCACAAGAGAGCAATAGGCAAATATCTTTACATATGAAAAAAATTTAAATATTAAGGATATAAATAGGATATAATAAGAATAGATATAGGATATAAATATAAATAAAATAATTACAAAAATAATTACAAAATATTTTTAAAAATTAAAATATTACAAAACATATTATTTTCTAGCCTACAGAAATATGAAAAATCACTACTTTTATGCCTTCTTCATCTCGGGAGGCTTTTTCAGTTCATTCATAACAATTTGCTTTTGTATAATGTTATTATTATTAGCAGTATTATTTATTATATCCATATTTATATTTGTTTTATTAAAAACAAACTTAGATTTGCCCACCTGTCAGGTTTTAGACCATATGGGGCACAGCATGTGTTTTAGGATATAACTCAGGTTTTTGAACACACTTCGTTATTATTGTTCATTTATTCGTTTGCTGGAAATTAGAACTGAATTTAGAAATAGTTTTGAAACGAATATTTGTGCTTAACAAACGTAATTATTTATTTATAGACTAATTGATGTCTGTGCGTAAAGGTTTCCCTATCCAAGAGCGAAAGTGAAAGTGATCCAATATCTCTCAATCTCACGCAGTAGTTGCTCTGTTTAACAGTTTTCTGTTAAAATACTGTTAACTGTTAACTGTTTGCTAGTGAAATGCTCAGTTTTTTCCACTTAGACTTACTTTGCGTCCTGTAAATAGCGAATGCGCTCTTGGCGCGACGCAGATGGCTCTTAAAGGGAATGGGAGATGAGACTCTTAATTGGTTTATTCTCAAAACACACATATAATTTATTAAGAAAATAAACTCAACCTTTTTAGACCATGCGCCATGGCGCAAAGTGGATTTTCCTGTCCTTATATTAGCAAAAATGCGTTCTGACATCCCCTGAAAGCGTTTGCGCCCTGCGTTTTGCGCTCTGCGCAGTGACCGTCAAAATAGAGCCCTTAATGAGAAAGAAATAGCCTATGTTCAAGTCAGTGACACTTACTTAAATTGACTTGCAGAAAACTTGGTTTGGTTTAGTTTGAAAGCAACTTCTCTGTGAGCTTCATAAATTGCCACACTTTTGACTATGTACTCACTTAATTAAAAAATGCTTTCAAGCTCTTAATAAATCTGCAATGTAGCTAGTTTGAAATTGACAATTTATTCACCATTATATCATACCAAACCTCTTTGACTTTGATGTCTTTCTTTCTGAACACCAAAAGTGAGGTGAAGGTGGGGTGAATTAAACAACGTGGCATTACACCGTGACTCACTTTTAACACTTTAAATACACCTAAAACTGTCAGCAAATATTTAATTTGCATCACTTGTAATCATTTGTAAAATCATAGCGATGGACACTACCTTCCGACACTCTAAATACATAAAAAAAACAAGTAATTATTGGAGTTTGCTTTGCAAGAAAATAGTATTTAAGTATTTAGTATTTAATGTTTAATTCAATGTGTTACATGTTTATTTATGCAGTTTTAAAGTTTGTGAAATACAAATTTTCTCTCTCGGCAGGTTGGCAGGAGAAAGTACTGGAACTGACAAATAAAAAGAACATGTGAGTGCAAATCCCATTATTTAAAGTAAAATTCCCATGATGTCCGATTATAATATTTTGTTGTGCTGTAGTGACACGAAGCGCTTAGAAGAACTTCACAGCAGGAATCAGCAGCTGAGAGAACAGCAGCGGATTCTGACTGAGAACATCAAACAGCTGGAGAACAGGTGTGCGTGCGTGTGTGTATATACAGTGCTCAGCATATATAAGTACACACCTCACAAATCTATTTTTTAATTGTATTTTTTTATATGAAGCTATACAATATTATATTTGTGCAATTATATTTGTGCATATACATCAGATTAGTCAGTATTGAAACCAAATCTAAAGCTTAACTAACAAAATAACTTACGATAAGGGTGCAAAAACTAGTACACCCAAATTTATGTGTTATAGAAAAATATTAATTACAATTTTTAAAAAGAGGAAACATCAGGAGAAGCTAAAAATGTTTTTAAAATTTTGTTGAAATTTTGTAGGTTGTATTTTTTTTTTTTTGCAATATTTTGCTTAAATATAATTGTATTATCTTTCGATTTCTGAATATGTTTTGTTGACTAAAATAATATTTTAATACAAATATCTGTTTAATAAATATGTTTTGTTTAAATGCACCAAAATACGTTGCCTATATTTACTTAGAAATGGATGAAAATATTAATTTTCAAAATGGGGTGTACTCAATTATGCTGAGAACTGTATGTGTGTTTGCAATCCAATTGTCCAAGAGTGTCCAATCTTAATTCGGATGTGTTTTAATCCTCAGATTGCGGGCTGGACTGTGTGACAGGTGCACAGTCACCCAGGAAATGGCGAAAAAAAGACAACAGGACTTTGAAAACTCCCAGATCCAAAGTCTACAGCACATCTCTCTACTAGGTCAGTCTTTACATGAAGAAGAAACACGGTCATCGTGGCATTGACCGGGTGTTGTTTAACCAAAACAGAATAATGCATTACATTTGGAAACTAAAACGTTTTGAAATAATTATCTTCTGCACACCAAGGGGGAAAAGCAATAAAATCAGTATTGTTAAATTAATTTAAGATGTCATAGAGTGCATTTAAGGGCAAGTATTTTTCTTGTCTGTATCCACAGAATTTACCTTAATAACAAAAAGGCTCAGTTTTGACCACTTTTGGAATGAATATTAACGTGCTCTGCTCAATTCTCCTCAGACCTCACACACACAGCATGATGCGCTCTGAAATACACATGTGCTAAATAATCTTCAGTTGTCAAACGAATTGAGTAGATGAATTGTAAATGACAGTCCTCTCAAGTAATAGAGAGGTTTATTTTAGCTAGAAGGAGTGAGTGAATGAAATAAATTAAATGAAAGTTTGATTTGTGGATGATGTATAGGCTAACTTATGATTGTAGTTGACAAATGGGCTGACAGAGATGTATTTAGAGTTGTATTTTGTGATTTTAACATAAATGCAAACATTAGCATCCATTAATTAATATCAACCTCTGCATAAACGGAAAAGTTTAATAAAGTTTATTGCCATTCTTTCACTCCAGAAAGATCACCATAAGAGCTGAGTGATATGTGATAATGCAAAAAAATGTGCATTGAACTCATTACAAACAAATGTGTCAGATGTCACAATATACACGTTAAACTGACAAAAGGTGGTGTTAGATATACCTAATGCCTCTTCGGGAGCTTTTTAAACAAATGTGTTATTTGTATATCTTGTATATCTTGTATATTTTTATCTTAGTTAAATTTAGAATTTGTCTTTTCCAAATTCAGCATCATTTTCAAAATAGGAGTCTTTTAATACAAGCTTTAATAAACTTAAAAATATGGTAAAATTATTATCGTTGTAATCTCATTAGCAAAGGTAGAGGCCAGCTCTTGTGAACTAATATATTTATTCATTCATTCATTTTCTGGTCGGCTTAGTCCCTATATTAATCTGGGGTCGCCACAGCAGAATGAACCGCCAACTTATCCAGCACGTTTTTACGCAGTGGATGCCCTTCCAGCCGCAATCCATCCCTGGGAAATAACATATATACTAATATATATATAATATATATAAATATTATATAATATATGTTCCATACATACCTCGGTTTTTTAACACGGTTTTCGGTTCTCATGGCTTGACATGTCTTTTATTTTATTATTCTATAGGCAATAGGAATAGTGAGAGGTTAAGGAGTGAAAAATAAAAACGATTTATTGCAATACTCATTTTGTTTTACTTAAAAGCCAAGAAAAGTAAACTTGTTCCTATTGTATAAAAAATAACACTGAAATCTCACAGCTGCTGGTAGCCCATGTACAAACTGGGGAACACATACATTCCTACACGTTGAAAATAAACATATATGTAAAGTTAATAAAGATAAATTGGCCATTTCAAATAAACATAGTTGTACTTGAGTAAACATAAATAAACCATCTTAATTATCTCGGTGCTGCAAAAATGCGAGACTGTAGTCTGTAATGCTGATCGAGTGCTTTTATAAGATGACAAAAGCCCACATCTCCAACTACCGAAAACGGCTGCAAATCTTTAGCAATAAACACCCGCACTGCCTTTGTTATTTTTATGTGTCTCTTGGAACCAGTTGGGTATGTTTGCTAGAAGGATTCAGTGAGGGATTGTTGCTATTTGGAGGACTTTATTACCTTCTCTGCTATTCTGCCTTCAGACAGTGATATTGCTGGGTGATGGCGCTGCAGATGTGCAGTCATGGTTATACGTGTAAAACAATGCTTGCACACAGTTACATTTTGTTCACCGTTTTTTCTTTTATTGGCATTATACTTACCAGCAAAACCGAAATGTCCTCACAGCGCAGATTTAAAAGATGCCGGCGCTTCCTTGTACTGTTGCCTCAGCCTCACTTCACCGCCGCTCACAGTGTTAAAGTGTGGAATGATGGTCAAGCGCCCCCTAACTTTAGAGCATAGTGATTGGATATTTACTTGCGGGGAGGAGTTTCCTCACCTCAGCTCATAGAATACAGGCACACACAGTCAATTCGGGGAGATATAAAACGCACATAAATTACTTAAACGCAAAACCGAGAAAACACGATTCACAAGCGCGCACTGAACCGTGGAGGTCTAACCAAACGGTTCAATATTATATTGAGAATTTTGGCATCCCATATATATGTATATGTGTGCGTGCGTGTGTGTGTGTGTGTGTGTGTATATATATATATATATATATATATATATATATATATATATATATATATATATATATATATATATGTATAAATTTGTGTGTGTGTGTGTGTGTGTGTGTATTATTTGATTTAAAGCTAGATTTATTAGCATTATTTCTCTTTGATTACTGATTTCTAAAGTAGCGTGTGACACTGAAGACTGGAATAATGCTGCTAAAAATTTAGCTTTACATCACGGGAATATTTTACAATTAAAAAAATAAATCCATCAATATTACAACAACATGCGTCTGTAACTTTTTGCAATATTTACTTGTTGTCATAAAGTCCATGCAGGTCATTGAGTAATATATGAATATTAAAGAAGTTCCTGTTTGCCCACTGTTGCAGTGAGTGAGATGAACACGCTGAAGAAAGAAAACGACAGACTTAGAGATGAGCTGAAGACCTTGAGGGAGCCATCAAAGTGAGTGGTTATCTATAACCCTTAAAAACAGGCTTATGTTGGTCACTTTGACATAGTTTAGCCGATTAGTTCAGTATTTTCCATATAATAGTCATGAATGATAGTTCTTCACCTTTCAGTCGTCAGAATGGTCATGCAGAGGACAAGGTCAGTCCAGAGGTCAAGGTGTCTCCTGATCCAGCTGTGTCCTCAGGGCTGAAGTCCTGTCAGCCTCCAGCAGGGGACGCCACTGTACCGGCAGCAACCGTCAAAAGAGAAAGTGACAGCAGCCCTACCGACAGCCTGGGTAACAGCACAGCACTCCATATATTACAAACAATACTACTTTACTCTGATAATACATGAGATTTTACCACTCAAATACTTGGCCACACCTGGGAGTTCTGTATTGTTGCCACAAAATAAAGAATTGGGTGTCATGATTTATACATTTATACACTAGTTTGCTAATAATAGGTAAATCATGACCAAACTTTTTTGCACTTACCTTTTGTTAAATTATAGCCACTATTTTGCCATAAAAGGGAAATTAATTATTACAGTGTGACTACCAATATAAAATGAGGACATGCCAAATCTTAAGTAGTCACTACTGGTCAATTTGAGAATTTAGTTTGCATGTCTGTGTACAGTAAAACCACTATGACTGTTCAAAGCAACTGTTTTCTATTTTAACTTAATTTAACTTCTATTTCTGTGATTCAAAGAATTTTAAGCATCATTTCTCTAGTATTTCTTGTCAGCTGAACTTTCAGAGACCATTTCAATATGTTGATTCAAAAACATAAGATCTTAATTACATCATATACTTGCTCTGACAGCTACACAACGATTTTGCTTTGATAAATTATTACGTTTTTCCCAGTGTTGGATTGTGGCTGGAAGGGCATCCGTTGCGTAAAACATGTTCTAAATAAGTTGGTGGTTCATTCTGCTGTGTCGACCCCTGATTAATAAAGAGAATAAGTCGAAAAGAAAATGAATGAATGAATGAATGAATGAATGAATGAATGAATGAATGAATGAATGAATGAATGAAATTCCTAAGTTAAGAAAGTTAAGTTTAAGAAAATCAAACATGGAGAGTCTCGAAGTGCTTTGAAATGCAGTACTCGCGATAAATGATTCAAAATTGACTCAAATTAAACCACAAAATGTCATTTATGCCAGAGAATGCTCTTGAGTTCAATCTGGTGTACCTTGTTGGTTACTTTCATGACTTCCAATAAAACTAAATCTCTTATGTGCAGCATTTTAATCCAGAGCTTGACCTTGTTAGTGGACATATTCAACAAATAAGAAAAAAGTGTGCTTTAGGTGCTCATAGGCCTAAAAGCACACACACACACACACACACACACACACATATATATATATATATATATATATATATATATATATATATATATATATATATATATATATATATATATATATATATATGTTTTTGGCTACCAAGTGCACTTGAAGTGACAGAAAGAAGTACACCTTTTGTATGAGGAACTACTTTATTCTGCCATTTACATTTCCAGCCGGTCAGAACAGCAGAACCCGTTGCTAATTCACAAACGGCACTTTAGAGCTAGTATTCAGTGATCTTTCATAATGTCTAAAGTGATTACAAAGCAGGCGATTTTGCTCACATTTTAAGATTATAAGGCATGAAATCTGTTGCAGACAGTATTTCACAAAAATTAACCCCCCAAAAAATCCAAAGCAGTCATTACTAGATTATTATGGCATAAATACAGCAATACAGTATAAAGTACAAAAGAGATTGACTAAGAATGTCACATCTGTTCTTTAATGATTTGTTCAGCTGTAGTTTGAAATGTACAATAAGAAAACGCTGAGTTTTTCTCCCTCTAAGGACATATTATGCTGTCTCTTCCATCATCTTGGGCACTGAATCTCCAAAATTATGCAAACATATTTTAAAATAGGCACTTTCCTCATAAATAAACTGCATAGTTGCAATCTAAACATCTACAGTCTAGCCTAAAATGCCTCAAATGAACATTATGTTGTGAGTACAAATTGTAGTGAGTTAGTTTAGCTCTCTGCTTGGCACTCTATGTGGGCGGAGTAATACACAAGAGTAAAGAGGCTGTAAAAGTTCTGTTTTGCAAAATATTGCATGGCTTTTAGATTCGAGAACCAGACAGAACTGTATGTATATATATATATATATATATATATATATATATATATATATATATATATTAAGGGTGTCATGATCCTCCAAATCCTCGATTCGATTACATTTTCGATTGTAAAGGCACGATTCGATTCGATTTTCGATTATGAATAATTAATTAATGACTAATTAATTATTTGTAGCCTACCGTTTAAACTACCTGACCTGCATGGTGTTTGTTTTACCCATAAACAAATCATACAGTAAATGAATAAAGGCAAGATACACACATAATTACCACCTGTCAATCACTTTTTCTGCGGGACTCGTGAATAGGCAGTGATCTGTGTCGTTATAAAAGTGTCAGTAAAAAATATAACCAACAGGAACCAGCCAACAGTATTTGAGATGTTCGCTAAAATGACTAAGTACAAGTGAGTGAAAGATTGAAGCAGTCCTCTGACTGCCTGGACCTGCTGTCTCGAGCGCATGGCTGTGAGTGCGTCTGTGTCTGTGTGGTCACGTGATGTGCATTTTCAGAGGTAGAGAGGAAGGAGAGCTGCTCAGAAATGCTACAAGCCACTGTGGATGTCAAATCGTTGTTGTTCTAAAATGCCATTTAAAAACAAAGACAGTGTAAACAGGGCCTGAGTGTGTACTTTTCGCGAGCGGATTTGCAACGGGGGCGGGCGGAGGGTCGCGATGCCGGTGTTGTCAAAAAAAACTGTGTTTTTTTTGTCGACAACACGAACGTTGTCAACATAACTCACTGGAAATCCAAAATGCTAAAACACCGGCGACTTCATTGAAAGAGGAGAGGGTTTTAGTTCTGTCGACGGGTCTCCTGCTTCTGCAGTTTAACAAGCATTTCAACAAGCCTGTTTTTTCCCGCTTGGCAAGCCAAGCTGACGTGACATGGGGGCTTGGCAGCATCGACAATTCTATTTTTTGATTCGATAATCGAAATTGAGCATAAATTTCGATCGATTTCAATTTAAAATCAAAATCGTGACACCCCTAATATATATATATATATATATATATATATATATATATATATATATATATATATATATATATATGTGTGTGTGTGTGTGTGTGTGTGTGTGTGTGTGTGAAATCTCATTACTACAGCTGAATGTACTGATTAAAAACTTTTGCTTGTTTCCGTCCATACTGATAAAAACATCTGAAATGTCCTTTCTTTCTGAACAGAAAAAACTTCCGAACAGAAACTTATGCAAAGCTGGGGCAGAGCCTTTTCATTCGTAAGAAATAGTTTTTTCTTTAAATGTTTTTTGTGCTATTAAACCTGATAACTCATAGTAAATATTGTGTATCGATGTATCTTAAAATTAGAGTTTCTTTCTCTCAGGAATCTAATAAGCCCATGTTGACCACTTTAAGTCCGGTGAGGTGGGGAACAGATCATGGCACAGAAAGAAGGTGAGACAGACAGACAAAACAAACTGCAAACAGACAAAATATTATGACACTTCACTCAAAAATATACATTTCTTCATCATTTACATTTAAACTTTCATGGATTAATTTCCTCTGTTGAACACATAACAAGATATTATGAAGAAAGTGAGACAGTATCAGTCACCGACTTCCAAAGAAGGAACAAAAAATGAAAGTCAGTGGCTGTTTTACAAATTTTGGGGTGAACTATCCCTTTAATTCTCCTCATGTGTCTGCAGAGGTTCCACCATTGACTCGATGGACCACAATCATTCCCCTATATCTCCTTCTCTCCCATCTCCTCTTCTAAAGAACAGTCCTATTTTTTCTTCTGCTGCCTCTGAGGAGCGCAGCACCCGGCAGCAAATCCACGCACCCGTTCCATTTCGACCACTTCCAATCAAAAGCGGTCGTCTGTCAATCCCATGGTCGCTGTCAGATTCCACAGACTGGGTCTCGGTAGCAGCCGCCGGATCTGGTCTTAGTAGCACTTTATCGGTTCACCCAAGCCAGACCTCAATTCCCAGCTCAAACGTACTGCGTTTCCCTAAATTGGTCCCTCCAAGCATTCTCCAATCCCGCTTGCATGGCTCAACACCTTCCGGTCTGCGTCCCTGGTCCCGCCGGAGCCTCTCGGAGCATGTGGAGAGCAGAGAAAAGAAAGTGGCAGAAAGTGTTACAGCGTCGCCCCAGTGGAAGGTGTCAGCATCACAGCCGGAGAGAATTTTTGGAGAGAATGTAAGGGAGAATCTGAGAGAGCAGGATGAGGAGGCGCCGCTTGACCTGTCCGAGTCGGGACGCTCAAAAAGCCAAGAGAAAGAGAAAATGCATTCACAAAGCGATGCTTCTTCATCTTCGTCGTCTTCACCGCCCGCTACGCTTTCTTCATCGTCTCAATGTCCATCAAGTCCTCAAAGTGACCAGCAGACAGCAGACAACATTGCACAGGTAGGCTTTAAATCATGCATGATTAATCCTCAATTAAAGGGCCTATATGCAAGAATATTTAAATAAGTTTTTTATTTATTAATCACAATCCTAATCTCATAGGTTGACTACAAAAGCCAACTAGATTGATGTGTATGTAAAGGGCAGGGAAATCAAAACGTTGTCTATGTCTGGGAGGTTTTCTTCCATTCTGTGGCCCATCACTTGAATGTTTATAACACAAGAGCTATCCAGTACTCCACTAAACTACACTAAATAAGCAACAGACGAATTACCATGTTTGTAAATGTAACCCCGCCAATTCGCCCCGAGCTGGGATCGAACCGGCAACCCTCCACATGGGAGTCGGTTGCTCTATCAAGGAGGCTAAAGACCATGGCTTCTAGCATCTGTCGCTAGAGTACCTTTAGAGGTTTATAAACACTCAGGATGCGCGCACAGGGAGGTGGCAGAAAAAAACGACAGCACTGGCATTTACAGCGAGGGAATGACATCCAATGTTGTACAGAGTTTGTTGTTATCTTAGAAATAAGATATATTGATTACATATTATATGTATTATTTACATAATGCTTTCAGCGTATTATAACAGCTTGTCATCCATTAATAAGCACAGTGATTCGGCAAAATTAACGTGAAAGTGAGCAGCGTTCATCTGACTGGTCCATTTGCGATAGCACCCTGCCAATGGATATTGGATAAGACGAAATGGCCAAGCATCCAGCCTCAAATATACAATCTCATTGAAGCTCCAAATGATTTTAGAAGAGAGAAGTTAAAGAGCCCATATTATACATGAAATAGGGTCATATTTTGGTTGCAAGGGTCTCCAACAACTGTCTAATATGCATGCAAGGTCAAAAAACACTTTCATGGTCTTATAATCTGCATTTATTTTTACCTAATTATCCCAGCGACTCCCGTATGAATCATCCAGTGATTCATTTGTTCCCAAACCCCTCCTAGGCGCGAAGCTAATCTGCGCTGATTGGACCAATGACAGTCTGATGCGATTGGTCGACTGCCTTCAGTGAGAGACAGAGTGAAATGCCCAACAGCTAATCAGCAATATAAAAGTAGTCACAGTTCATACACGCTCGATAGTGTAAGGCGTGGATTTTAGCTGCCAGTGGGTGAATGTAAATACAGACGATGGACTTGAAAATACCAACGACTAACTATTTTATTGAGCAAAAACTCCAAAAACTGTTGAGGAGATCTTCTAGCTTGTCTCACTCTGCTCTTTTCACAGACACACACACACATATTACCCTCGTCCTTGCGCGCGCGCACGCACACGCACACACACACACACACACACACACACACACACACACACACACACACACACACACACACACAAAAACACACACACACTTAACCCTCTAACCCTCCTCCGGACGACAACGCGCGCGCACACACACAAACACACACACACACCTCCGGACGACGGCGCGCACACACACACACACACTACTCTCCTCCACGGACTCCATCAACAAAGCAGCACACGACGCGTTTTTTAACGTGGCTTTGCACGCGATATGAGAATAAAGCGAGTTAACCTCATACAGTACACGCAGTTACAAGTAACAAATCACAACTAAATACATTTGCAAGCTAGAGTAAACGAGGCAACAACTTTAAGCGCACGTACTTACACTTGAGAAATGGAGGAAGAAACCCATCCTGACATGTCCAGCAGTAAGTTACTCTTTACTGATCCTTCCTTTAACAAACGCCGATGAAGTATTCTTTGTAGCATGTAGTTTGCAGAAGTTTCCAGTAGTTTCCAACTGCTTGGTTATAATGCTGAGGTTTCATCTTTGGGTAGAGACTCAATAATATCCATCGGCAGTGTGACTTCAATCGACCAGCATGTTTGTGTGTGTGTGTTTGTGTGTGTGTGGGTTTCTGTGTTAGAGGGCGGGGCCGCAGGTTTCAAATTGCGCGTGCACGTGGATAACTTGGTTTCGTTAGTACGTCATGGCGAAACACCTAATGACTCGTTATCAAGGCGACTTGTTTGAAGCACTATGAGTCAACTCTTTTATAGATGAATCAACAGTTTTAAACACTGTACAATTACAAATTTAAGCCTTAGCTGTTTACTTGACTTCACTTAGAGCTGTATTACACATTACATGGAAGGGTATTTTTAAAAACAACGTAATATGGGCCCTTTAAAGGCCTACAAGTCTTTGGATACCTACAATGTTGTTCTGTGTGGTCATGTGCAAGAAATAATGTTCCATGATTACCAGATTCAACACTATGTAGTGCTAAAAACTGAGGTTCTGCCTAGCCAAAGACAAGGAAAGAATATGGAGCTGTACAAGGCCTGTATAATCATCAACAAGGAAAACAGCCGCTTTCTGACAGCGAACTACACCTGTACGGCAGGGTATGTGAACTTACACATAGAGGTAAAATTGGTTTTATATTTGCACATTCTGACTTTCGCCTTAATAATATAATTTCAGAAATGGATTATTTGCAAACTTTAAATAGCAAAATCATATTAGCAGCCAATGACTTTCAAAGCATGATCATCATTACACAGTTTGAAATTTTATTATTTTCTACATTGCGAGATGGTGGCTCGGTGGTAAGCAATGTCACCTCACAGCAAGAAGGTCGCTGGTTCGAGTCCCGGATGGGCCAATTGGCATTTATGTGTGGAGTTTGCATGCTCTCCCTGTGTTGGTTTTGCATGGGTGTTTCCCAGTAACAGGTTGCAGCTGGAAGGGCATCCGCTGTGTTAAACATGCTGGATAAGTTGGGGGTTCATTCCATTTTGTGGCAACCCTTGAAGAATAAAGAGACTAAGCCGAAGGAAAATGAATGAATATTTTCTCCATAGACCTGCATTTGCCTCTCATTATTTACCTGCCACAGTGCAAAAAAGAGTGAAGCTAATCAGGCTGTGGCGTAGAATTAGGTGATCGTGGAAGTGGGATTTAGCCACACTATGACAAGAAATAGAGCAACATTGACAATCTGTCATTTTGTTAGATTTGACTTTAACTTGAGCTGTTTTTAGACTAATAAGGAAGTTTTAAGTTCTGAAAATTACAGGATGTTTTTATAGTACGTTGACCTCTATATGTCAACAGATCAAGGCAATTTAGATTTCTCAGTTTGTGACTCCTTTAACTGCCGCTTTCTTATTTTGTCATACTATTACTCTATTATTAATAAGACTGTTATTATTATTTTATATATTTATATTTTTATATATTTTATTATTATTATTATCATTATTATTATTATTATTATTTTCAGACTACGCTGAGAGAAAAAAATGATCTAAATGTTCCTCAGCTTTATGGATGTATCTTTTTGGTATCTTGCTGCCAAAGTATTTCCAACTTTTTACTTTACTATATCAGGGCTGTGAGGGCACTGAAACATGTTCAGTTGCTGACTGCAGTTCACTTTATCCACTTGTTAAGTCGTGACGTATGACATACTGTCTGTGGTCCAGTCTGTCGTCCAAGCCGCTACTTATTTGAATAATGAAAATACTCGTTTATAGACACTTTTTAGTCATATCACACATTAAAGTGAATTTTATATGAATCATGGTGTACACAACTGTCTCTGGACTTGCTGCATCCGACAGTAAAATTTTAACAATTTATTAAAAATTAATCACTTTCTGGCGATCAGATTTTAGGCATGGATTTATGTATAGTGCTATCGTGATTTTTGAAAGAATTAAATTGCTATTTAATCATTTTTAATACCATTTGATGACTCTCCCCATACAGTTTGATATAGCGATTGGACCCGGAAGCCGCTTTGCGTGATGTCACAATTAACAAGCTGAAGCCACCAGTGTCACTAATAAAGGGAATTCTGGATTCTGCATACAGTATCCCCTTTTTAACCCCATTTAAGCTACCGTGATTTATTTATTTTTTTTGTACAATATATTTATTACTTTTTTCAATTTGCATATAACAACAGATTACACAATTACTGAACAATAATCATGAAGGCACAGCAAACTTTTACCCCCCATTCTCCCTCCCAACAACCCATTCCCTTAAAAGTATATATATAAAATAAAAAATGAATAATATATAAAATAAATAATAATAAATAAGTAAATAAATAAAATAAAAATAAACAAATAAATAAATATAATAAAAAAAAGGGGGAAGAGAAAAAAAAGGGGGGGGGGGTATGTTTAAATCAGGTAGTCTGTTTAGACCATGATACTTCCCATATTCCTAAGCCTGTTCTAGTTGTAGTAGACTATCCACAGCTACCGTGATTTTTAATGTTAAAGAACCATGGGTCCCACTTTATATTAAGTGGCCTTAACTAATATATACTTACACTGGAGTTTATAGTTTGTTACAATGTACTTATTGTGGAAATACATGTATTTAATGTGTACTTATGCTTGATTTAATACATGTGTGTATTTACATCTGTAATTAACTTTTGTAATTACATTTGTAAATACACTGTTGACCATCCCTTACACCTTAACCCACTCTTAAACCTACCCATGCCACCAAACCTGTCCATAACCCAACCTCTATCCCAACTCAAAAGCACCACAAGTGTTCACAAATACATTATAAATACAGTAAGTACATTGTATTTATTTTTTGATGCAAGTACAAAGTTGTTAAGGCCACTTAATATAAAGTGGGACCAAACCATGAAATCCCCCTCTTTAGGTTCAAGTCCAATTTTTCAAATAATGCTTCATGATGGGCGTGGAGCACTGCGAGCAGAGGGAAGAGTGGGCATGGCGAGCAGAGCAGGGGGAGAAAGAGGGGAGCAGTCTGTGAGGAGACGCATGATTTTATAGTTTACAAAGTTAAAATGCAAAGAAATTAACAGTAATTTAATGCCCCCCTTCATATGTTATTCATAATTTCATATACAGTTGAAGTCAGAATTATTTGCCCCCTTTGAATTTTTTATTCTCTTTTTTTAGATATTTCCCAAATGATTTTTAACAGAGCAAGGACATTTTCACAGTATGTCTGATAATATTTTTTCTTCTGGAGAAAATATTATTTGTATTTATTTCGGCTAGAATAAAAGCAGTTTTACATTTTTTTAAAAACCTATTCTAAGGACAAAATTATCAGCCACTTTAAACTATTTACTGTCTCCATAGTCTACAGAACAAACCATCATTATAAAATAACTTGCCGAATTACCTTAACCTGCCTAGGTAACCTAATTAACCTACTTAAGCCTTTAAATGTCACTTTAAGCTGCATAGAAGTGTCTTTAAAAATGTCTAGTCAAATATTATTCACTGTCATCATGGCAAAGACAAAAAAAAAATCAGTTATTAAATATGAGTTATTAAAACTATTATATTTAGAAATGTGTTCAATCTTCTCTCTATTAAATAGAAATTGGGGAAAAAATAAACAGGGGGGCTAATAATTCAGAAAGGGCTAATAATTCTGACTTTTCCTGGATCTGTTAGACTTTCAATAAGTATTTAATTCGCAAGCTAATAGCTTAACCTTAAGATAGAAGAAGAAAACAGTTTAAGCATTTCCGTTTCTTTCAATCTTCAGGTAGTTTTTTTTTCTGCAAGCAAGTTAACACCCCTACTATTTTAGCACAGTGTTAAGAAAAGCTCTTTAAATGAACTATAACAACATAGCGTTGCTGATCACATCAACTGATCAGGGGAAACAGGATGTTACTGTTCTTGCTTTGTTAAAAAATATAATTATTTTGATAACTAAACCAAATTACTGTTACTGTTTGTAAAAAAAAAAAAAAAAACTTTTTTTTTCTTTTTTAGCTGCTGCAAACCTTTCTCTACCTTCTGTGCTTACACTCAAAATACATTTGACAACTAATTATTAAAAAAGAGCTGAAACAACACAATTCTTGAGATTTTTTTGGGACAACTTAATTGTGTTGTTCAATCCACTCAAATTTGTAAAAACAAATAAGCTAACTTAATTCCTTCATGTTGTCCTAAGAGAAACTGATTGTGTGTAGCATTTATCACAGTGTATTTATTAAGCTCTACAAGATATATTATATAGAAAGGTGGTATAATCAACACAAATTTAGAATTACTTCATACATTTTTATCAATTTCTTCTCTTGTTTTAGATAAAACATTGAATTATTTATTTAAAAATTGTACTAATTCCTTGATTCGTGTTATGAATTCAATGAAAAGTGAACAAATCAGTACAACTTGACAGCAATTAACCTAAAATGCCTCCGCAAGTGAATATGTTTTGTGAATCTTGTGATGTGCGGGTCTCTGAGTGTACAAATAAAAGTAACCGTGATGTTTGGTTCACTTCACACAGCAAGAGGAAGCACAAGAAAGATGTAATGAACAGGATGAGGTAAAAGAAGATCAACACTCTCCAGCTGCTGAAACATCTATAAGCGCAGAGAACAAGAAAGTTCCTTCACTAACTATTTCCCTCCAACCAGGTAAAGCTGTATTTTTCATTAAGCATAAATGCAACAGTATTAACCAGGTCTAAATTGTTTGCTTTGCCTTCCAGTTGTTGTAATGGAGACACTTAAACATGGAGGACAGGTAATCAGAGCATTGATGTTATTATGCTGCATACTATTTTAATTGAGGTTTCAGTTGTAGCTTCTGCTTTTTTCTGGTCACTGACCTACTGTATTTTAAAGGTCGCAGATTCTGGAAGCAGATCAATAGAGCAAGAGGAGAAGGAAAACAACCACCTTGAAGCAAGCAGAAAAAGATCTGGTCAAGATTCTGATTGTGAGTTAACTTTTTTAACTGTTATTTGTTACATTTAGATTTGAAATGTCCCTTTTGACTCGTTGTTCTGTCTTAGCTCCGTCCCTTCGCTCGCAAAAAGAAAAGAGAATACGGCTAAACAGGGGACCTCAAGGAAACCATGCTGACCCAGAACAAGGATGAAGGTCTCCTTTTTGTAATTGTCCCTTTTTTTGTTTTTGTTTTTGTTTTGTTTTTTACGTTTAATTGCTGTCAATAGAAAGAACACAATTTTTAATTTTGGCTATTTATTTTTAATTGTTTTGTATTTTTGAAAGGCATTGGCTTCAACTGTAGTCACTTTTATTATTAAGCCCCCAAAAGGTTAATAAGTACATGTTGATCACTCACATTCAGAACACACAATGATATAACTATTCCAAGCTGCAATACCAATGCTCTTATCGTTTTTTTATTTAAATTTTTTAATCAAAACGTTTAACTAATGGTGGATATTTTTGGCAACCTGAGCAAAAGCGTTTATACCCAACATATACAGAATACATACAGAACGAGGTTATATCAAACAGTTTTAACATCAATTTTAAAATTAAAGAAATAGAAATATTCAATTCATTCTTCGAAATAAGCCACTTGAGTCATATTAAATCTCATCAAGCAGTAATTTCAGTGAATAAAGCACTTTTTTGCTTCCCAGGGAAGCATTTTTACAGTGTGTTGTCAATACTACCATTCTTTACAATGAAATCTGTTTTAAAAATCATTTAAACCAAATATTATGCAGGGGTGCGTTTTTGAAAACCATCGTTAGACAACTTAGGTTGCAATTTTCGTCGTTACAAACATAGTTTGCTGATTTAACATTTCACAAATTCGTCGTTCCAATAAACATTCACAACTTGTACGCTTGCAACTACACCTCTAGTTCCTGGCTGTGTTGTATTCCCTGTTATCCCCCCTAAGCCCTATTCATTTAAAATGTTCCAGCATTTATACTTGGAATGATTAAAAAACAACATTAAAGTCATCTCTCTGAGGTGTAATTTGCTTTCAAAGGCCGTTTATTTTGAGGTTGATAATAAACCGCACCATGTTGGTGTTTCGTAGCATCTAGTTTTTATGAGGTGGGTCGTTAGCCCAATGCTCAACCCCTAACCTGGAGGACCAGGACATACACATATACACTACGGACAATTTAGCTCAGCCAATTCACCTATAGCGTATGACTGTGGGAGAAATCAGAGCACCCAGAGGAAACCCCTGCAAATACAGGAAGACCAACTGGAAATAAACACAGAAATGCCAACTGGCCCAGCCAGGGCTCAAACAAGTGACCTCTTTGCTGTAAGGCAACAGCCAACCACTGCGCAACCACGTTTCCCGCTGATTATCTATAGGAGCTTTAAATTGTTTATTGACAAATGAGATCAGTTCATTAGGCCTGCATTATTAAATCAAAACGAATAATATAAATCAATATAATAACCAGATTTGTTAGCATACTGCATCCATCATCTGTAATTTCTACCACTGAACCAAGGCAGCATACTGTGAAACCTTATAACATTTTACCTTGCGTGTGTTGCCATTCGTATAGAGAAGGGGTGCCCAAACTTTTTCGTATAAAGGGCCAAAAATTAAATTTTATTGAGAGTTGTGGGCCGAAGATAAAAATACCCAATTTATTTTACAAGTTGCCATGGGTAATTTATTTCATAATATTTAACAATTAATAGAAAACATGATTTTGAATCGTATTGACCCCTGCAGTATAACTTTAATTATATACTATATTATATATTGCAATAAAAACAAACAATCACATTTATACTGTAACAGTTCAATGCTGAATACATCAGTCAAGCAGAATCTGCCTTTGCCTCGATTTGCTCAACAAAGTCTCTGCATTGTCCACTATCCATTGGAAGACTATTTACATTTAAAACTAAACTACTGCATTCAAATAGAAACATTTCATTTCATGTAGCTTTTTTAGGAGCTTAACAATAAAACAAATAAAAGGTTACATTAAATTGAAAATAACAATGCCTAAACCATTACTGTCATTCTCCCTCTCTTCTCAGATGGGATGGCGGACCAAATCAAAGGTTACCATGGGCCAACTTTGACCTGCGGGCCCTAGTTTGGGCATCTCTAGAGTAACCAAAACCCATTCCTACTACAGCTGCTGACTATAGTGCAAATCATTGTCTTTCTGTAAAAGCTGTCAGCAGCGTTTACCGATTCTAACTCTATAGACCTGATGTACCTGCAGCACTTGTTTTCTTCTGTCATCCAGATTGTATTTCCACAAAGAAACTGAATAAATCGCTCACTCATTTTAAAATCTTCCCAGTCGATTGACACCTGTTATGATTTGCACTTAAAATATTACCACTTACTAGAGTGCAATCTTTTTGCATGGCATTTTCTGTCTTAATCAGAGGTGCACGGCCACATACTGGTGCAGCTTAGAGGAAGCATGAGTTGTGACATTTTTTAAGTGAGTGACAACACAATAACTGTTCCAAGATGGCGGATACATCAACAAGTAGCATCTATACATGTTTTAATGACTTGGATGCATTTAAAGGGCACCTAGGTTACCCCTTTTTTTCAGATTTAATTTAAGTCTTTTGCGTCTCTAGAATGTGTATATAAAGTTTTAGCTCAAAACACCCATCAGATTTTTCATTATACCTTTTACAGGATGCTGTTTTATACTGATTTCCAGCAGGGGGTGGTTTTGTCGTACTGCGCCTTTAAGACGAGTCTTTCCCGCCTACTTTTTCTACGTGCCTTCCCGCGTGCTTTAATCTCCTCCCTCAGCTGCGTCAGACAACAGACAGACTTAAAGGAAGAAGGTCTCACGTAGCGTTTGTGAGAAATACTACAGAGAACTAACCTTTACTAATCAGTATTGTGAAGTTGCAATGATGAGCCACACACAATATCGCTACAAAGCACACACACACACACACACAGAGAGAGATATACACGCACACCGCAGCTGACACACACACACACACAGGCAGGCAGACAGACAGAGCGCGCTTAGCTTAGCACAGCACTGTTTTTGCACTCAAATATGACAGGATACAGGCTAATCTCCAGTACTGTGTGGATATCTGTTATGCTAATGTACAAAATAAACCTGATTTAACTTCCACAAACCGGGATTGAAGCGTCTTCTTTTATAATTGTTCTGACACGCGGCTGTGCTGATGAAGTAAAGCTGAAGTAAATCGCTGTAATTAATTACACACGTGCACTGTTTTAAAACACTTTAAACATGTGAAACTTACTCTTAATCACATTTGATGATAATTGCTGATACTAGCGAACAGAACAGACCATTTATTCCCGGTTGCTTTGCGCATGTCTGCCTGGTCTTGTTGACATATACAAGTGACTACCGGAACATGTTAATGCGCGCAGCTGTCAATCAATTCGGTGGGCGGGGGGACCGCACTTCTACGTAAAGTTGCGGTCGGTCTGAAAACCGCTCTAATTGGTCCACCGTTTTTATGTTGTTTAATTGAAAAAGAAGGACTGGGTCTGTTTGTATCACCCCAGTATGATGGTCTATACACTATATATACACATATGTCTGTCCAAATAGTTTAAAAAGTAGATTTTTCACCATAGGTGCCCTTTAAGTTTTCCAGAAAATCCAAACACATGTTAACCTGTCCATGTGCATCAAAACAGACCGAACCCTGCATTATATTTGATATGTTGTTCATTATTTCCAACTCTATCAGTCATACAACTTCAATTGCTGAAATGCAGATGAAATGTGATGTTACTTCAGTTGGCAGAAATATTCAACTCTAGCCAAACAGGAAGCCAGCTGTTCTTACTGACAAGGGGGGCTGTCAATAAACTTCTTCTTTTTTTTTGGTTTGTTTTTCTAATTGTCTTGTTATATTCAGTTGATTCTCCTTCATTTTAAGCCACATGTTATTATTAATTTCTGGTTTTCTTGTTGCGATGTTGCCATGAAGTCGTGTTTCTCGTCTTGGTTTGTGTTCATTCTCTCTTCCGTGCGAGAACTGTCACTTCTCATCTATTTTTGTCTTCGTCTGAGCACTACGGCCTGCTTCTTGTAGATGTGACAAAATGTAAAACCCTTGGCTTCCCCTTTTGGTTTTTTTGAGATGTCAAGCATATATTTTGTAATAGTGAATTTTCCACTTGCAGCTGTAAAACGTTTCTGCGTGTAAAAGGAGGAAGGGTAAAACTGTGAAGAAAAAAAGTTAACTTTCTGTATAATTGCTGTTGCATTTGTCAACTATATTTACTTTAAACTGCGGTAAATCTATATTTAGCGAAATATACCATATGGAGATTGCTGTTATTCGAATTCTTCACTGTAAATAACAGGAAAAACATCTGTTGTCCATCGAAATAAATACAACTAAGCACATGGCAAGTGTTTGTGGTCATGCTTTATGAGTTTTACAACTGTCGTCCTGTAAATGGTTCAGAAAGTGGGCAAAATATGCAGAATTCTTATGAATGTTTATACGTATGAAGAGTTTATATGCAACAACCTCTAAATGCCAATGGTATTTTAGATATTGTGTTGTATTTGCTTCTAAAATTAACATTTTTCTCAGACTCCTGTGTGTAGCCTCATCATATATATGACATTTACTGGCCACTTTATTTGGTACAGCTTACTAGTACCGGGTTGGACCCCCTTTTGCCTTCAGAACTGCTTTAATCCTTCATGGCATAGATTCAACAAGGCACTGGAAATATTCCTCAGAGATTTTGGTCCGCATTGACATGATAGCATCACGCAGTTGCTGCAGATTTGTTGGCTGCACATCCATGATGCGTATCTCCTGTTCCACCACATCCCAAGGGTGCTCTATTGGATTGGGATCTGGTGACTGCAGAGGCCATTTGAGTACTGTGAACTCATTGTCATGTTCAAGAAACCAGTCTGGGATGATTCATGCTTTATGACATGGTGCGTTATCCTGCTAGAAGTAGCCATCAGAAGATGGGCACTGTGGTCATTAAGAGATGAACATGGTCAGCAACAATACTCAGGTAGGCGTTGGCATTGTCAAGATGCTCAATTGGTACTAATGGATCCAAAGTGTGCCAAGAAAATATCCCCCCCACCATTACACCACCAGCCTGAACCGTTGATACAAGGCTGATGGATCCATGCTTTCATGTTGTTGATGCCAAACTCTGACCCCACCATCTGAATGTTGCAGCAGAAATCGAGACTCATCAGACCAGGCAATTTTTTTCCAATCTTCTATTGTCCAAATTTGGTGAGTCTGTGCCAATTGTAGCATCTGTTTTTACCTGACAGGAGTGACACCCGGTGTGGTCTTCTGCTGCTGTAGCCCATCTGCTTCAAGGTTCGATGTGTTGTACATTCAGATACCCTCTTCTGCATACCTTGGTGTATGTACCTCAGCTGAAGGCAAATGGTGTGTTTTTGGTTGGTGAGTGTATATTTCCCAGGGATGGGTTGCAGTGGAAGGGCATCCGCTGAGTAAAAACGTGCTGGGTAAGTTGGCGATTCATTCCGCTGTGGCGACCCCGGATTAATAAAGGGACTAAGCCGACAAGAAAATGAATGAATGAATATATATATATATATATATATATATATATATATATATATATATATATATATATATATATATATATATATATATATATATATATATAATGAAGTAACTGCACTGCATATTCACGGTTTTTAGATTTATAGATCATGGTTTTGGTTAATGTTAGTGTTCATTATTAGAGATGTTATTTATGTATTTTCTTTTTTATGTCTCTCTTTCTCTGTCTCTTTTCAAAGGAGAGTGTTTAATCCCACAATCTGATAGGGGATTATTAGAGGCTCAGGTTTTTTTTTTGTCCTTATGTAACTTGAGTCCAGACCAACTGTTTGTTTGTCTATTTCCACACCAATAACACATCTGTGTGTGTATGTCTGTGACTATGTGCTAATAGGTACACACAAATCTTCTAATCTGTTCTCAAGCAAATCTTGTGTAAATCTGCCTCTGGTATTTTATTATGTACATGAAATTACCTTATAACCCTTAAATGTTGGGATATTCGTGTTAAATATAGGCAGAGTGAATAATATATGACATTTCTCAGAAGTTTGCAAAAAGGATTTTAAAAGTTTCTAGCAACTTTTAACACACACACACACACACACACACACACACACACACACACACACACACACACACACACACACACACACACACACACACACACACACACACACACACACTCGTGGCTGAAGTTTGTTGCGTGAATCGGGCACGCAGATAATGAAGCGGAATATTCATGACAGATTTCCTCTGACTATAAAGGATGTGGCTCAATACTCACTCCGTTCCCTACCTAGACAACACTTTAGGCGTAGTGCATGGTCTTGGAACCTTTCTGGTGGTAAATAGCTTGTTTTGAGTCTTGTATGCTCACTCAAGTGTTTCAGTATGAACTAAGCTGATTCTGAAAGCGTCTAATGGTAGTTGTCAGGCATCTCGGCGGTATTTGAGACACGCCCTGTTGAGCAGAACAGAAACGACAGTCTCAATATTCACTGAACTAAAGCGCATCACTGTGATGGAGAAGCCGGTGTGAAGGCACTGCAATTTTTTTCTGCTCGTAGGTCATTTGGCGATTTTTTTGTGAATAGCCTAAAGAAGTTTAACTTTTGACTGGATTGCGAGTGAAGCGGTGAGTTCCTTTTAAGAGTTGCGGTGTTTCATTTCATTTTGCTGTATCCTTGCTAATATTTGAATCTGTTCAGCCTATTTTGATTGAACGACTTCCATTGTGAATGCTGTTTTGTTAAAGCTGGTTTTCAATTTTCTTTTCGATGACGTTTTCACATTTTCTAACAAGCTAAAGACATAGCGGCACTAATTTGCATGTAATGTTACTTTAACAGTCTTATTGATTTTCATATCTTCTCCGGGCTGCTTTGCCATTTCTGTGTAAACTAGAATCTAAAACATATCTAACTTATATTAATTAGAAAGATTTGATATCGTTTTTCTGATTCAGTGTTATGACAATTTCTGAATTAAATAATTAAAATATTTTCAAAACAAAGACATCGTAATTCAAGAGGTTATACATTCTTTTTTAGTAAAATAATACAAAAATGCAAATGTGCTATTAGTTTGCATGCAGCAATTAAACAGAAAAATACTTTCGGTTTTTACATACTTCTCAGAATATGCTAAGGAAAAGTACGCTTAGTCTGTACTGTCTTAAAGAATACTTAACTATTCGAGTACAGTTGTCTTGTAGATATGTTTACTCAGTAACACTATACAAAAACGTTTCATTTGTTAATGTATGTAATGTGTATTAATAATGAACAATATCAGTACAGCATTTAATGCATTAGTAAAATACGAATTAATGCTTGTTAGCATTAGTCAATGCACTGTGAGTTAACATGAATCATCAATGAACTGTTTACATTAGCAAACATTAATAAATAATGTAATTAATGTGTTGCTCATTGTAAGTTCATGTTAGGAAGTGCATTAACTAATACAACCTTACTGTAAAGTGTTACTGTTTATTCTAATACTCTCCTATTTAAATGCAGTATCAGGTTAAGTGGAACTGAACCTGATCTTCTTTGGTAGCATGCTTGAGAATTATCTTCATATCTATTTAAAGTACAGTTAAAAGTGTATTTAATACAAAATGAAAGGCATAGTTCACCCCAAAAAAATGACAATTCACTCACTATTTACTCACTGTCAAGTAGTTACAATCCTTTAAGTGTGTCTTTCATTTGTTGAACACAAGAAGGAGGTATTTTGAAGAAAGCTGAAAGCTTGCAACTATTGACTTACACGGTAGGAAAACAAATAATATGAAAGTCGAAGGTTACAGTTTTCCAACATTTTTCTAAATATATTTTTTTGTGTTTAACAGAAGAAAGAAATTCATAAAGGTATCTCTTTAACATGTTAATGTAGTACACTTAAAAAAAATAATTGTGTGCTTGTGTACACATAGTCTACATTTCTGAAAACTACAAGTATTTTACTTTGACGAGAACTTTCTTAAACTAAAAAGTTATACAAATATTTAACGGGTAACTGTCAGTATATCTATTATAACACAGCTGTCATACCAACTAAGTTGTGAACTAGTCGTGTACTCAAAATTGACTATGGTTGCATATAAAGTAGTATACTATTATGAGCTAAAAAGTGGGCCAATGTAGTCAGAAGTAATATATAGCCTAGTGCACTATTATATACAGTTAAAGTCAGAATTATTTGCTCCCCCCTTTTCTTTTCTTTTTAAAATATTTCCCTAATGATGTTTAACAGAGCAAGGAAATTTTCACAGTATGTCTGATAATATTTTTTCTTCTGGAGAAAGTCTTATTGGTTTTATTTCGGCTAGAATAAAAGCAGTTATTAATTTTTTTTAAAACCCATTTTAAGGTGAAAATTATTAGCCCCTTTAAGCTATTTATTTTTTCGACAGTCTACAGAACAAACCATCGTTATACAATAACTTGCCTAATTACCCTAACCTGCCTAGTTAACCTAATTAACCTAGTTAAGCCTTTAAATGTCACTTTAAGCTGTATAGAAGTGTCTTGAAAAATATCTAGTCGAATATTATTTACTGTCATCATGACAAAGATAAAATAAATCAGTGATTAGAAATGAGTTATTAAAACTGTTATGTTTAGAAATGTGTTGACAAAAATGTTCTTTCGGTTTAACAGAAGTTAGAGAAAAAATAAACGGGGCTAATAATTCAGAGGAGCTAATAATTGTGACTGCAACTGTATACTGGTAGTGTATTGATATTTATACACCTACTACATAGACATACTCAAACTAATGCATACCTAAAATATCAACTTGTATTATTATTTTTTTATTTATAGGCATTTAATCGCAGTCACTTGGGTTTGAGGAACCTGCCTGTTTCTTTGAAACATCACGCTTTAGCTTGACTTTTTCTGTTACTTCCATAGTCCACTGGTTTTACAGAACAAGACTATCAGATGAACCATTTCTCTTCCTCTGAGGATCCATCCGAATGTAAATCGATACAAAGAGTGCACACTTCGCCGTTAAATGTTTTTACGGTATATGGTGACAGTCTGCACATATGTGTCTAGGGAGAGAAAACAAAAAACAATGAGAGAGCCTTATAACAAGGAAGGTAGCATGACATATTTGCATGTGTGTGGTTAAATGGAGGGAGCTGTAGTTCGTCTCCTCACATTGATGTGGAAAATAAGTGGAGGTGGTTCCTCTCGGCCTCCCGGGCTTTGAGGGACACAGCAATCTTTGGACGGGATGTCGAAAGGCAAATCTGAAATTTCTTCAGGGTATAATCAGTTATCAGATTCTCAGTCGGAAGAAGGAAATGCACTTGTGATGAAGCCTGGCTGAAAGGAGACTAACTGAGTAAAGGTTTAAAAAAACAGCCTTGTAAAAAAACACGTACAGATTTAAACAGACGATTGTAATGGAATGAAAAGAGTTTGAGTCAAATATGAAAAGGGCTTTTTGCACATCAAAAAAAGCAAAGCGTAATACTTTACCATAGTTTATTTACCGAAACACATCTTGTCAGGATTATTAGAACAAGAATCATTTGATTAAATATTTAAAAGACTCTATTTAGGGATCCTAAATAACCCTTAAAAGGAATAATTAGGTTTTTTAATTTTATCATAATTTATGTTAGGCTGAATACTGATGGAACATATTTGTACACATTTAAAAACTGACAAACAGGTAAACTATAGTGATTTAGTGTGTAAGTCAGTTCATAAAAAGTGTAATTATATCTAATTATAATTTTATAATATTATTAGAAGAATTAATTTTTTTAAAAGGGTACCAAAGTATGTTAGGAAATATGAAATTGTACCTTTTTTAAGTATATTTAAAAGGACAGTTCATCCTAAAATGTATATTTTTTCATTATTTACACATCATCTGTGTTGGGGGTAGCGCTTTATAAGTACTGCGCATTTTTACTTTTTCAAAGTTACGAGTGGTATAAGGCATTGCTTTAAAAATGAGTGAAATTGTTTGAGTTATTTCTTTAAAAAATGTAACACGAGTTACTTTTTACCTTGCTTAATTGGCTTTTACAAAATATATTGTGGAATAAAAAAGCCTTAGGTTGAATCACACACTCAATGAGAAAGTGTGCTGCGAGGTAACTGACAGTCGGCTCGCAATTATCATCATCATCATCATCAGGTCTCTTTTTTCACAGCAGATGAGTCAGTGTACTGTTCGAGTTACTGAATAACTCAGGATATTGGTTTATTTCGATTCAGAGGGAGTATCTGGTATGTTAGTACTTGCTGAAGACGCAAACCATTTCACAACAACTCTGTTTAATTTAATGAACTGGCTTAACCCGTTCACTTAGAAGATCCAGTTAAAACAAATGATTCATTCGCGAATCGCCTGTCATCACTACAGACAGTCAAACAGAAAGAATGGCAGGCCGGAGTCGCCACAGTGGTATGAAGTGCCAACTTATCCAGCATATGTTTTATGCAGCGGATTCCCTTCCAGTGGGAAACACCCATACACACACACTTCGGCCAATTTAGCTTACTCAATTCACCTGTACCACATGCTTTTGGACTTGTGGGGGAAACTGGAACACCTGGAGGAAGCCATGCAAACATGAGGAGAACATGGAAACTCCACACAGAAATGCCAACTGACCTAGCCGAGGCTCGAACCAGTGACCTTCTTGCTGTGAGGAGATTTTGCTACCCACTGCGCCACCGTGTCGCCATTTTAAGTATGTTAGTGACCAAATGAGTCCTCGGACAAACCAGTAATAAGGATACGTTTTTTTAGACATTGATATTGAGAACAAATAATAATTTCCAAAATTGTATGGATTGTTAGGATATGATGATATTTGGTCAAGATCAGTGGTAGAAAGATTACTGAAAAATTATATAAAACTAAAAGTACCATTACTTGTAAATATTACTCAAACTATGAGTAAAAAATACTTAAGAGTGGTGAGAGTTGGACAGTATACATGGGACGGATTTTTCTTCCTAGCCAATCCCCCTGCTGAAAAATTCAGCTTAAACCAGCCTAGGCTGGTTGGCTGGTTTTAGCTGGTTGACCATCCTGGTTTTAGAGCAATTTCCAGGCTGGTTTCCAGCCATTTCCAGCCTGGTCTTAGCTGGTCAGGCTGGAAAATGACCAGCTAAATCTAGCTAAAACCAGCTTGACCAGCCTGGTTTAAGCTGGACATAGCTGGTTTTGGCTGGGCTACCAGCCTGGCTAGGCTGGTCAAGCTGGTTTTAGCTGGTCATCTCCCAGCCTGACCAGCTAAGACCAGGCTGGAAATGGCTGGAAACCAGCCTGGAAATGGCCAAAACCCCTCAAAAACCAGCCTGGTCGACCAGCTAAAACCAGGCAACCAGCCTAGGCTGGTTTAAGCTGTTTTTTTCAGCAGGACAAGACAAAATAAAGTAGTAATGCAATTTGAATAACAATAGTAGGAGTAAAAGTACAGATACATTTTTAAAACTAAAAAAAAGTCAATTACAATTCCTGAGAAAAAATACTTAATTACAGTAATTTGAGTTTTTGTAATTTGTTACTTAACACCACTGGTCGAGATACAACTACAACTTTGAAAACCTGGACAGTTTCTAAAAAAGTCAAAATATTAAGAAACTCTGCTTT